TGAAGTGGGAGCACTGGCCTTCAGAGGGCAGAGGGCCTCAGGGCAGGCAGCTGGATATAAGCAAGGATGATTCCTTCAATGGCTGACAGAGCCTGAAAATTAGGATCCAGAACATACGTTTCCTCCCTCTCCTTTTGCGGTGTAACATGAAGAAAAAGATTTTCAGGGACAAGAAATTAGGGTTATGTTAAGAGAGGTTCAACTGTGGCACAGAAGTAAGGAGGATCCGTGTTTCAGTCTCTGTCTGGGCCCTCTCCCAGGTCTGACTCTGCGTGAAGGTGGGAGACAGGCATGAGAAAATGCACTTTAAGGCTGCCTCATCCTGCAGGATTTTGGTTGGAGAAGTTCATATGTAGCAAAAAAACAAGAAACAGACTTCAAAATATTCAACTGTACTCACAAATGACCTGACATATTTCCCTTGACTGTCAGAGGAATACTTGTTTTTCCTCAGGCAAACTTTTAGCTTTATTCCTCAGTACTTCAATTTCTCTCTACCTTGTCTTTCAGTCAACTTGCATCCTGCGATGCAGTCACTGTGACTTCAGTGACTGCAGTCATTTCTAAATGCTTGTGGTCAAATGGTCAAAGAAGTATTCCAAGCCTCAGGATAGATTACTGTACATCCCTCATGAGGTAAAAGGACAATCAGCTACAGAAACACAACTGCATAGAATCAAAATGGGATCATTCAAAACTATTACAACTGTAGAGGCCAGTCCTCCACTTAACACTGTAGCCAGATACTGTGGCACTTGAGGCAATAAGCCTTGATAAAGCTTCAGGTAGACAAGTAAAAGCTACATCCCTTTCTATCTAGTATCACCCTTTCATAGGTACAGATCAGACACTTAACTGGACATTTGTTTGCTTTCTTTGTACATTTAGAACTGAAGTATCTTTTGCAGCTGTGGTAAGAGCAAAAAGAGGCTGAATCCCTCTACCTGTAACATCACTAACCAAGCCACCCTCACCTTTTCACTATGCCTCTTAAGCTGTTTATGAATGCCTGTAGTTTGATTTTCTGCATGGGATAATTCTGAAGAATTAAAAAAATCCTCAGCCTGTGGGCTCACTTTTCCTGTGTAAAATTGTTTTTATTGCGTGCAAAAAAGCTTCACACTAATGCATGGTATCTGTGGCTTTCAGTCTAAAAACATTGCCTCTTCTTCTGTCCAGAGATAGTGTATGCAAGCATCCTTGTTGCTTCTCTGTTAGGTAGATACCATCATCTACTTCTGCATAACATAAATTACTTTGTTGACAGCTTCTAGCACTGACTGAGCAGACACACCTCATATTTCTGTTATCAAGCTCTTACTACACAATTTGTTGTAAGTTTGCTCTCCCAGGTGTTGTAGTTCCCCTTTAGCAAAGGTTCTTAGAAAGTTCAGTGATTTCTTAAAATCATTCTGTATTTCCTGCTGGTCTGCAATAAACAGGTAAAAGCATAAGTCACAACTCTATTCACGATAAGATTTCAAATGATGGGGAGTGAGTAATGAGTACACTCAAGCAGAAAAGAGGTAACACACTCTTATTATGCAATATGGGTGGTTTTGCAGCACTCAGTGGTTTACAGAAAAATCATACATTAGAAAATCGACTGTAGAAATGAAAGAGGTCCCTGCTGATCTTTTGCTTTGCACTCTGTCCTTAAAGTTTGCTGGTGTTGTCATCAAAGATACCAGTTCCGAGAACCACTGTATTATAGATGCATATCAAGTAAGAGAGATAAACTTACTTGAGGTGGGGAGGCTTCTTATGACTCTAAGTAAATGGGCTACAATTTCAGGCAGACTGGGGAAAGCGGGCAATAGATAGCACTTTTAACAAAGACCCCTGTCTTTAGTTACTATTCACAATGAGATGGACCTCACTGCTGTCTTTAAGCGTTAGGACATGGTTAAGGTTCCAACTAGCAAACTAAGAAATGGCTATGGGCAAGAATTCCCACTCTCCTAACAGAGAAAAAGGAATTGCTTCTCAAAGATCTGCACATGGTGCACAGAAAGTAAATATACATTATAACAGATATCTTCAGCATGGAAAACATCTGCTCAGTATCTTACATGGGCTGTGATAATACTTTTTCAGATTGTTTTCCTTTTAAAGTAAACACATGGTAATTTCCTAACACAAAGTTCACTGTGAGCCATAGGATTGTCCATATTAAAACTCACTCTTAATGTTCTCCATTAAGAACTGAATACATGCCAACAGTCCCAATCATATATTCTGGAAAAAAATAATATGGTAACTGTATCTATAAGATATAGAAATTAAAAAGGACTGACTTTTTAAAGATTAAAAAAATTGCAGGGTAACAGATAAAGAAAGCTGTATGTAAATGAATAATTACCATGTTCAGAATTTTTGGATAGTAGCTTGATACATATTCAAAATATCAAGCAGGGAGCTTGATACATATTCAAAATATCAAGCAGGGAGAGTCCACCAATAAAGAACACAGAACAAGAAAGCAAGAAAAGAAGTATGCAACAAAAGCTCTAAGGAAAAAATGACAAATCATTGTATATAAAATGAGAACTAGAGCACTTTAAAATCCATTGTAATGAGAATCCAGTATGAAATTTAGGTCCAGTGCTAGCTGACACCAGAAAGAATAAATTAATAGAACAACAACAAAGGGGGGGGGGAACGGAATATAAAAGTGTAATGGATACTTTTTGTCCCTTTGCAGAATGAAGCAAGAAGATGCAAATACTCCACACAATATTGCTAAAGGAATTTTCCCCCTCTTTACCATGTAGCAGGAGGAAATAAAGCAGCAAGTACTAAGATAAAGACACTTCAGGTCAGTGTACCAGCATAATTTTGCAAGTTTAAATTTTAGAAGTTTAAAGCTTCTGACTGAGTATTTCTCTGAACAACAGTGTTAGATACACCTTAGAAACTGGGAAAACTCAATGGGACAAATGCCAGTACAACCTGACTACTTTTAAGAGAGATAAAAGGGAACTACATAGACATTCAGTTGAATAGGCAACAGTAACTGCAGCAATACAAAACCAAAAAAGCTAGTTAAAATGTTAATGCTAGAAGACCTACTTATTAAAATACTAAAACAACATAAGAGCAAAAGAAATATTCTATTAAAACTATTGTTTATACTTAACAGCTTTTTTATTACTAAGGCTGTCTGCATTTTCAGGGTAAGTTGCAACTAATGCAAATATAATTGAGTTTCTCTTAATACAAATAAATTGTCATTAAAGGATGTTTTGACCAAAAGCTTTGCCAAATAAAGGCATACATTACACCAATAAAAAAACTGCTTCCCCGCTGATCTCAAAATGTTGTTACTGAAAAGAAACACACACAAAACTTATTTTGAACAGTCTCCTTTGGAACAGTTCCTGGTTCAGGACTATTAAATTAGTTCAGGACTATTCAGTTAGTCTTTAATGGACAGTGAAAATGATCTAAAGTATTTGCTGACTAAACCTGGAAATAAGAGTGTAGTGTGAGTATCAAGTAACAAGGGACTTTACTATTACAAAGTGATATTAATCACTGATAAAATTATCTTGGTCCTACAAGATGACTTGAATGTTAAAGTCTACAAGGGTGGGCCACATTCCCACTCACTTCAGAATGCAGCAACTTGAAAAAAAGTTTTAGATAACTGTCTCAAGCTCTCAATACAATGCAGAGCAGGTGTGTGCATAATACATTAATAGGGCTATTAGTAGAAACAAAGAAATAATTATGCATTGATGAGTATAACATTGTGCTTACCTTCAGAAGGGCTACAAAAATACTGGCAACACACAAAGAAATTTCATGGTTGTGTACTAAGACACACAAAGAAAATATTTATTACACACTTGTCAACCTTGCTAGCAGACATAAAATAAAATCCCCTGACCGGGAAGCTAAACAACAACCAAGGGCGTAATGTTCCTCAATATTTGGGTGATTTATCAGAGGATGAAATGGACTCATCATCATATGAGAATTTAAAATAAGATTTAAGTTTCAAGAAGTGTTCTTTAACACATCTGATGAGCAAAAAAAAGTTTCTTCTTGTGAGAATGGATATCAACATGGACTTAACATTGGACTTTCCCTTTTTGGAGTCTGTGAATCCCCCACTTTCCCAATGCCTGCTCATGCAGTTACGGGAAAAAGTATGTCTGCATGTCTGGAACAAGTCCACATACTCACCTTGATTGGTCTTAATAATATCTATTGAGTCGGGGCTTCCTCTGCTTGCTCAAAAAGCTCACAGTTATCTGCCACAGTGCCTAGCTAGCCAGATGGGTCTTGATGAGTAAGGACAACAGCTTTCTTTTGAACTATCAGATACCCATCACCAGCTGGAGCCTGGACATGGTGAGCAATACTCAGAAGGCTTCTTCATCAGGGCATGCTTCTAGGCTTCCTTGTCCAGAACGATGCTGGATCACTCTGATGCTGTCTGCATGCAAGTCAATCTCACTGTCCAGGTCTTGAGTTAGAGCAATAAACATGAAACATCTGGCCAACCCAGATCAGAGACTTCTAGCTGGCCTGTCTTCATGCTGTGTCTCACTCCCAACCAGCTGTCAGAGGGTTCTTAGCAAAACATATTAGCAAGAGTTTTGATACTCCTTAAGGCTCAGTTGGTACTGCAGTCCTGCCAAAGTCCTGTTGAGGCATCACAAAGCGGTGACTGAACGAGCTGGTGTAAGGGCCAGATTTTTGTCCTCACACCTTCTCCTCCGCCATGTGCAGGACACTCCTGAAAACCGGGCTCTTGCTCCTATTACCTGAGGTTCCCCTCGCAGCCATTCTCCTGTCGCCATACCCCCTCTCATCTCAAGACCCCCACCACAGTCTCACATTTGCCCCGCTCCTCCTCTTCCCTGACCCCTCCGGCACCACTTTTACCGGCCCTTCCCCACCTGGGACCCCACATACCCTGGGAACGCGGCACCCGTTAAGGCCGAGCCTGAGCCCCCGCCCGCGGCTCCGCCTCAGCCCAACCTGCTCACCCGCGTCGTAGAAGGCGTCCAGCACCGCAGTCTCCCCGAAGTCCAGCTCCCCGAAGTTGACCGTGCCGAGCTGAGCCCCCTCGGCCTCGCAGGCCCGCAGCAGGCACTGCCGCGCACCGCCCTCGGGGCTCCGCGCACCGGCGCCCACCTTGGGAGGGTCGTTCAGCACGTACACGGCCCGAAGGCAGCGCGACCTCGCGGTTGCCGGGCTAACCTCCGCCGTCTCCCCTCCTCCTGTCACCTCGGGCGGGCCGGCGGCCGGTAGCTCCAGCTCCGCGCACGGGTGCGACGGCTCCGCGGCAGCGCTGCCGCCCGCGGGGCTCTCCATGGCGGCGTCGAGAGCTGAGGGGAGCCGGTGGCTGCCGGCAGGTGCTCTCAGGCGGGGCCGCCCGCCATCGCCAGCAGTTGGGCGAACTCCGGCAGCGCGGGGCGAAGCGGCGCCTTCCCTCCCGGCGGCTCTTCCAGCCCCGCCGTGCCTTCCCGGGACAAACGCCCCGTTTACCTCCGCCACCAAAGCGGTACTGAGAGGGAGGAAAGAGGCAGCACCGTCGGGGCGATCGCTGCTGGCTTACTACTTCCCTTCCCCGCCCCTCGCCGTGCAGGCTGTACCCTTCGTGCACCGCCCGCTACCCCGCTGTTACTGCCGTGGCTGTTTCTATTTTACACGGAGGCACCGTGCGCCCCGCTCGGGTTCCTCTGAGGGTGACAGGGTTAGGTCAAGGCCAGCGGGCTGCCGTGTTTTGCCGCGCAACCAGCTCCTCTCATATCCCGGGGGTCTGTCCGCTGCTGGCGTCTTAGAGCCTCCCTGCTTTTTAAGAAGCAAAGGCAATCGCTTTCTCCTCCCTCAACTCACCGTGTCAGAGCTTTTCCACAGACTACACCAGAAGTTTGGATAACGCTTCATCCTTAAATTCATTCTCTTTTCTTTAAAATCTCTTGTGACCATGGCAAAACCAGCTCATAGAAACTCTGTAGCAACTTCTGGCTTCTTTCTAAGAACAAAATCAACTTTGAGCAATTGGTTTCCTAGCTCATCTTTTTATCAGCTGAGCAGATGACAGCAGCGCCAGCTTTGGCACTGCTATGGAGGGAGCTGCTGGTTCACCCAGCAAGAAAAATTGAAAGGTGGTGTGTGGGTAACTTTGTACCGCTGCCTTGTGCCCCAGCAGTCAAGAGGACACCACCACACCCTACAGAGACCACAACCTATTGGCGATCAAAGGAACAGTGGAAAACTGCAGTCCTCAAGAAAAAAAAAAATCGTATTTGAAATAGTAAACCTGTCTGGCAAGCTTCTTCATCTCATTTCCACTCACTGTCACAGAAGAGGGTTTAAACAAACAGCATCTTCTGTTTTGTTTTGACAAAAGCAGTAGTACATGAGACTTTGGGGGAAAGATATACCATACACATATTCCTACAGCTTTCCTCTTCAGGCAAGAATAAAACTTTCTATACAACTATGCCATTATCTAATCTGCATTTGGAAGATACTCTGTGTGGACACTGAAGCCTTTGACCAACAAAAGGCACTAACGTGTATGTTTATGATACTCCTTAATACAAATCCTACTTTGTATTTTTTGCCTAATAAGAAAGTTTGTTTGAACAGCTGGTATTAAAACTTGAAATGAGAAATACAGTATTGGCAAAGTGAAGGGATTATTTGCACAGGGAAGGGCTTGTTTTACTCCAGAACATTCTTGGGCTTTCAGCAACCAACATGCAGAAAACAAATTGCAATTTAATGGGTTCAGAACAACCGATGCATGGTGTGGTGCTTTCTGTAATCATGAAAATTGTTGAAGTGTCAATTTAGAACAAATATGTAGGCTGGAATTGCTTAGTGGGATGCCACTGAGACATAACAAATAAGCCTTTTCTGCCTTCCAGGGATTATAAAAATGTAGTTTGTTGTAGGTCTTAGACATGTCTTTGGGGTTCATTTTAGAGTTATTAACATTTGGTACCATTTTAAACTGCTTGCTGAGTGGTCTGTCTCTTGGTCTTAGAGTGATGGTCTATCTTAGTAGATACTTCATGCAAATATAATGAAGAAAGGACATTTTTCCCTTTTCTTAATTATATTCACTCCTCACTATTCCTTAACCCTTTCCTAACAAGCTGTCATGTTCTGAATACCCATTTTCAGTAATTTCACCTGTTGTAATTTGCTCAGAGTTTGCATGGCTTTGTTCTTTTGTGTTTTTTGTTGTTTGTTTTTTCTTTTAATTTGTTTGTGGTGGTGGTTTTTTTTTGGTTGGTTTTGTGTGTGTGTGTTTCATTTTTTTTTGTTTGTTTTTTTTGTTGTTTTTGTTTTTTTTTTTTAGGCTAGAAACAGGAAGTATTTTTAAAACCAGAAGCTTCAGTTTACATACTGTAATGAAGTCCAGAAACTGTGGTTCCGTGCTGGTATGCCTCATGTTTCCACTGAGCAACAGTATCTTCAGATCTTGCAAGTCACCTGAGTGAGGATAAAATGGGAGATGCAGGTTTTGGGATATTTGAACTGTTTCTGTGAAAACCAAGAAAAGATTAAATCTTGAAGAAAAAAGGTAAGTCATGCAATACTCTTCCCTATTTTGGAAATGTGGTCCAGTAATGAGGTTATAGAAAGAGCCACTCTGCCCCCAGATTTGCCTATTCAAAAGTCCAGGCCCGAACTGAACATTCAGCTCTCGCATACCTTCCCAAGACATTTTGCCTTTGCACAGAGCTCAGCCCAACAAAACCAAGCTTTAACCTGAGAAGTCAACATTTGCTCTAATATGCTAATGTAAAGATGAGGTGACAATTTTCTTAGGCAGCACTTTGCACCTGTCAAATGCACTTAGTGCAGAATATTAATTGCCACTTAGACACCAGGAGCAATATAGCAATATGTTTGCTGCAGTTCACAAGGACAGCAAGTGCTCCAAAGAAAATAGATGTCCTTGAAACCACCTTTTGGGGTTTTTTCCTTCCCTTTAATTTTGCAAATCCCTGAGCACCAGTTGTTTCTCTAGACTTAACTGGGCTAATGGGGAGTGAGTCCTTCCTTTTTTTTTCCTAGGGCTACAAACTTACTGGAAACTGAACTGGAAAGCTGAGCTGTAAATTTATATAAAGTTTGCCTCTACAGGGAGAAATACTGCCTTTCTGCCCGACGCATACACAGCTACAGCATACCTTTTTTAAAAGAAAAAGGCACGCTAGAACTGGTGGCACATATGTCAGGCTGCAATTTCAGTTTTCTCTAGCATTTTTGGCTATAAAGAGGGCTCATTCCATTTTCCCCAGGGTCAGGGAAATACAAGATCTCTTAGCTCAGGTATGTACTAAGTAAGCCAGAAGGCACAAGGCCCATGGGGAAACTGCAGATCCAAGCTGTTCTTTCAAAGTGCAAACCCACCTGGCCATGCCCTGGCAGTAAATCCTGAAGATCTCCTGCCAGCCTGGTATCCTGGGCATCTGTCACACTTGGTGCAGAGGTTCCCAGGAGTCAGTCCACAGGCACTTGTCACTGACCAGCCTCAGACATGGGTGCACCCAAGAATCACTTGGCAGAGTGGCTGCCACCTTGCAATGACATGGACCCAGAAAGCCTGAGCTCTGTATCCCAGATGTGAGAATTTTTTTTTTGTGTTGTGAAGATCAAGCATTAGGGAAAATATTTTGATGTCAAATTTATTTCCCGGCAGCCACTGTACCAACCTTACACAAGCTAATGCAATCTGTGGTGCTTAAACTATTCTGAGTGAACACTTTGTTAATGGACTTTTTGGTATTACAGTTGCTAGGCTTCTACCCCGCTTATTTTTCATTCACAGTGAGCAGGTCTCCAGGTAACAGTACAGGTACTGCTGTCATGTGGATGAGGAAGAAAATGGATAGATTCTTTACTGAACAGGAAGATAATATTATTTTTTAAGCATGGATCCAAACAGAAGGTGTTATCTTTCAGGGTCATTATGTAGAAGCTCTACTACAGTTTAAATAAAATGTTATGAATTGTCCCTAAGAAGTCTAATAAACAACTCGATTTTGTTCAAAAGTGGGATTCAAAATATTAACTCCATACAATGGAAGCTAAGCAATATGGATAATTCTTGAAGAAAAGCTTCATACAGAGGCCAAAAAATGCTACAAGCTTTAAAAGTAGACTTGCAGCAAAGCACACCTCACTTGGGTGCCTCAGAATGATGGCAAGTCAAAACACCTTGGCCACCAAATCAGCATTGGAATGGCTTTCAGGGATCCCTCTTGCTTTTCTGTTCCTGGGAGCCTGAGGCCTCACAAGCTCATTTGACCTACTGACAAAGAAGGAAGGTGAAGAAAGTGACTGCTGGGTCGAAGAATATAATCAGATCTATTCAGACCTACTGTTTTGCACAGGAAGCACATTGAACACAGCATCTGTTTGTCACCACCCCATGCAAATGAAGAGTGCATATATACACATGTCACATAGAGAGTGACATCTTGTATGAAACACAAGGCTACTCAAAGGGTGACCTTTCTCTTCCTTTCCTCCCCGCCTGCCTTGGAGAATGATAATTTTATACATATGCACTGTGTGCCCACAAGTACACAGAGCAAAACGTAATCAATTTCAAAATGATTCCAAATTTCTCACCTGCTGTAATTTTCAGCACATCCAGCACTGTAATCAAAAGTTCTTGCCTTTGGATTTTGAGTGGTTATAGGGCAAGTATTTGGGAGTGTGGCTAATTAAGGAGCACAGGCTAGCAGTGAAGAAAATATGCATGTCTTCTCATTAGCTTCCACAGAGTTAGATTTTCACTTACAGATGACTGGATGCATTTGAAATACTAAATGCTCCCTTCCTCTCGCCCCAAACAACCATACACTAGTAAATAAAGTAGAAAAGAGAAAGATAAAGAAAACTCCCCAACCTTTCCTGACTTTACTGATGGAGAGAACTAATACTTTCTAAGCTGCTGATAGTCTGCATTATTTTCATTATTTCTCTATCAGACAGCTACACCAGATCAATATGCAAGACACAGGCATAAGTGTTTATAGACTGGTTAAAAACCTTGTACTGATGTAAGTACCTGTGGCTCTTTGATTTTTCTCACTCAGTTCAGGAATGGAGGAGCAAACAGCTAATTTAGAACCAAAAGTTAACTCAAACTCTCCAAAATAGTCTTTAACTGATCAGCAAACAGAAAATCACTATCTCCAGTTTTCAACACATTTCAAATAGCTTCTAGTTTATACTTCAGATGGGAGAAAACCAAACCAGGCCCTCAACTAGAAAGACCTCCCTTAGGCTCTGCAATTTCTGACCCCCCAATAAGATGACTAATGCTAGGAAAAAAGAGTCCTAGATTTCTTCACTTGTACAGCATCTTTACATGATGAATATTTTCTCTTTCACTCTCCTAGACCTAACAGATTCCTCTTCAAGTTCAGTCTTTCTCTAATTCAGCATGTCCTAGGGGTAAGAAACACACATTTTCCTGAGGAATAAGAAACTGCTTCAAGAGGTCTGGTTTAAAATGTTTGCATGGGCAAAAGAATAAATATTCTTACAGAATTGATTAATTTACATGTTCTCAGCTTGATCAAAGTATCTTTGACTTCTCTACATGTCACAGCTCAGTGCTTTCATTGCAGTTCTTACATACTGTGTTAAGACAAGATTCTCGCTTCTAGTCTCTCGCTATTTCTCACTAAAGAAACAGTCATGATAAAGGCCACCTGAATATTCACTTTTATTCCAGTTAAGCGGGCTTGTCCTGTCTGCTGATTAACCAAGCAAAACTGTGACTGTGACAGGGAACACACTATGGTTATGCACACATTGC